TGGATACTCTTCAAGGGTAGCCCCATGTAGAGCGCATTGCAGTAGTCTATCTGGGAGATAACAAGGGCGTGAGTGACTGTTCTATCTGGAATCCTGGCAGGTGTCAGGCTTAGCCCAAGGAACTCCTGGAGACCGTGCAGGTTCAATCAGCAAGGTTTATTAGCTAGTGCTTGTTTATAGAATCTTCTCAGACTGCCGGCTAGTTCCCAGGAACAGGAATTCACTATCTCCTAGAATGTTAGGGGTGCGTCAGCTTTTGCCTCTTATTTCCAGCGCATTGCTCTGGAGATGAGATCACGTTCTTTACCCCCCTTCCAGTCCCATGCCATTCCATCACAGCAGGTGAAAAATTTGTTACTGAGCAGTTGGATGGGCCATGCAAGCTCTTCTTTCTGTCTTCCTTCTTTCCACCCCCACCCTCTCATTTAGGGATCGTTGTTTCAGACTTCCCTAGGGCTCCAACCCTATTTCTTATTGATTTATTTTTAAGTCAAGTCATGTGAAGTATAAATTAAGTTGTATAAAGTCAGGGATGCACAGAAAGTGCCAGTAGTTTCTGTTCCACACTGTTCTCTGCTACTGATTAGACTGAAAAGAGAACAAGGACTCTGGCTGGTCACAATCACAAAGCGGCTGAGAGTGTTACACAGAGCCAATTTTAATATATTCAATAAACCATGATTAAATAAACTATGCTTTATTATGATGTTCCATTCATAGTTGGATATGCCATCATCATGATCATCAACTGTCCAAAACAGTTCAAAGATCAAAGTTCATGTAAGTACGGAGGTTGCGTTCCCAAGCTGCAGCCTTGGCGTCTCTCCGGCGGGCCTCCCGTTTTCCCACTGTTGCTGCTCGTTCTTTCCTAGGTTGTCGCTCCACAGGTTGCTCTACAGCACGACAGTCATTGGCTTTGAAGTGGGTAACCTTGGGTTTAAGGTTACTGCAGAAGCCCAGGCCCTTTTGATCTCTCTTGAGGACAGTCTGAATAGGGAATTTGCGACCAGCACCTTTTGGCCCCAATCCAGCTTCTTTATCCCAGCCCCCTTTGACCATCAGTTGGAAGCCCACGTTATTCTCGGGGATGCAGTACTGGGTGGAGGGTAATGGATCACGCCGATTGAAAAGGTGGGCAGTGGAACGCTCGTGGAGAGCCACGGTGTCCTCAGTATAGTGTGCCTGGCACACTTCGCAGTATTTTCTCTCAGTCGGTGACTGTAAACTGCAGAAAGAAGGGAAGTTATTTGAGACAAGGCAAGCCACATTTACACCAACTGTAACTTTAGTCAATCTGAAAGATGGTAAAGGGAGACCGAAGCGGGGCTATAGGTTTTTCTTGAAAAAAGTTTTATCTCTTTTCTGAAATTCTATGTATGAACAGTATTAGAGGACCATGGGAATCTTTTTCAAATTAATTTTGCCTAATCTGGAGGACTCTGTGACAGCCTCACAGGTCTTCATTGGTAATAATTCTACAGCATAGAATTATACATAGAATACACCCCTCAGAATAACCCCGGGGAAGGGGATTAAATGCTGCTTATTTTTATCTAGGCAAACAGTGCCTCAAATTCAACAATAAAAAATGTAATTAATTTTCCATTGCTATAGCAGATGTAGCCAATGGTTACAGGGAGGGCCATATAGGCTTCTATCTGCCGGCACCCTGGAAGAAATGCTTATATTTGGCGGATTCAGTGATGGGCCTTCATGGACCAGTAGCCTGAACCAGTTTAAAGCAACTTTACACATATTTAGGGTGATAAGATTTTCATTGGTGAAGTTGTAAATGTTGCTGAGTAGGTTTCAGAAGGAGAAGATGGAAGGAACAGAGATTTTCTAAAGGTCTCTGACCTCAGTTGGTCACTGGTTATTGAGTTATTTATTTAAATTTATTGGCTACCCAACTCCAGTAGACTCTAGGTGGCATACAAAACTAAAAAAAAACTAAAAAAAATAAAAACAGCGAGAAACATTAAATCAACAGGCTTAACATATTAAGACTTGAGAAGCAGTAAAACTGTTCATGGCAGAGAATGGATTCAGTGGTCTTTGCTTTGCTATACCTGTAGCCATTCAGTGCAATAACTACACATCAATATTAGGGGAAACTTTTTAATTCTGACAATTTAGCTTTGACTTGTTTTCGGTCTATTCTATGTCAGCGAAATAATGCAAAGGAACATTCAGAAGCAAATCCACTCAGAGAATTTCCTCCTAAAGGAAAACTGGGCAAACCCGGAAACAGGCCAACTCACCTAGAGGATTCATTTTTCACTCGAGGCCTTTCACTCTCCCGAAGGATGCTGACCACCTCTTCATGTCCTGCTTCTTCAGCCAGATCCATAGCATCCCGGCCTTGTGATTCACAAACCCCCACCCAAGCAGCCTCGCGTCTCAAAAGATAACGCACTGCCTCCCCTTGTCCAGCATAGGCTGCACACATGATGGCTGTCCAATAAAAGCCATCTCTATAATTCACATCACACCCTTCCTTCTCCACAAGCATTTGGAGAGACTTCAAGTTGCCATCCTGAGCAGCTTTCAAGAGCTGGTTGCCTTTGCGGGTGTCGGTCTGTCCTGGGCAGCTTGGGGTGTGAGGAGACACCTGCGCTGGCCAATGGAGTCCATTAACTACCCTTGGTTTCCTCCGTAACACTCTTTTAGGACTACTTGTAAGTGCCAGGCTCTCATAAAAGTTACGTGCTGCTTCACCAGCTGCATTCCCTTCCTCCTGGCTGGTGGTACAAGAACCTTTGTTCTTTTTCTGAATGTGTCCATCTCTCCAGAGATCTGACTCTTCCCGGGCACGAGTGAAGGTGATCAGTTGTTCACCGTGGTTCATGTTGAAGCGGTAACCACACAAACTGTTGAAAGTGAAAAACAAGAAATCTGCATAAAAAGGTAAATTATTTACTACAGACAAAAGTGTACATGTCCCTGCAACTTCGTAGCGGCACAGAATGTGGCATCAGGCACAAAAACTTCCTGAAGACTGGTTCTTTCTTTCTCTCGTTAAAAGTAAGACTCTAGCCATCGTGGTTAGCTGGAATTGATTCCTTTTTGGGTAGTCCAACATAACAGGCCTCCAACCTGATGCCGTCCAGACAAGGGTCCACAAACCACTACCATCCCCAGAGGGCTGGACACACATGAAGTAAGTAAAGAAAATCCAGAAAAGAAAAGTGAACAACTGGTTTGTTATTCTGCCATTTCTAACTTTTGTTTTTATTGTCTTGTTTTTCTCATTTGTAAACTGATGATTTAGAGAGTTGCTGGGAGTCAGGAGCCATATACATAATAATAACAATAATTTAATTAAATAATTACATTATTTAAAAATAATACATCATCATCATTATTATTATTAATGTTGATACAGTATGACATCCTAGGTTCTTGGGAAGAACTCAGTGCGAATGAAGGCTAGAAACCTGGCAGCTGGGATTTCACATTGTTGTGTATAATAATAATAACAATGTAACAACATCTGCCTATCCCAGGTCCTTGGGAAGGACTCGATAGGTGGATAAAAATGCCAAATCCAGTCTAAACATCTGGCTGACTGTGTGACCAACAATAATACATCTGAATGGCACCGTTCTGGTAAAAGATACCCTAGAGCCGTGTTTCTCAACCTTAGCAACTTTAACACATTTGGACTTCAACTCCCAGAATCCCCCAGCCAGCCATGCTGGCTGGGGAATTCTGGGAGTTGAA